GGAAACTATGTGTAGAGACAAATACCATCACATATTTCAAAGGGAAGGAGGCAACTGCGCATAATCTACGAATGCCGACCAAGCCTCAGACGTTCATTTACAGCACCAAAGGACCATGTGTTCGGCGACCGCTTGAATTGTCTTGTCGTAAGATCTGCCGATAAGTTACAGACTGTAGCGGTGTAGGCTCAATCTTACTAGCGCTCGGCCGTACCTGACCATGTTCGATTAGCCGTCACAACATCTTCCTCATTGATCATTGTTGTAGAGACTTCTACGAATCTCTCGACATCAAACCCCAATCTTGTCGACCATACAGTATTCGGAGCAAACTGCAACACTGATCAACACATTAGAACACAAAAATGTCACTTATGTTTCGCGTGAACTATCAAATTACAACAAAACGAGAGCAGCAGGAGCACCTGAGGGTTTACAAGCATCGTCGGGGTTGTAGTCATCATGATCTGCGTGAAAAACAAATTGTTAACTATAAGGACAACATACACAGTTGCCTGTTCTCTCATCTATCACACATACGAGGCCCTAAAACAGAAATTCGTTCTCATACCTTGGACTATAATAAAGCACTTCGCTTTCACAAGTAAACATAGGTCTTCATACGAAGTATCTGACACATACTCTTACTTGAACTTGCGAGATCCCACGTTAACTACGTGAACCACATTAAAAACGTGAACCAGGACAGCGCCTGCCAGGACAGAGCCTAATACATGTTCAGAAAACATTACCGTGCACACAGCATACGACTTCCGCGCACACAGTGTGACTCCCACGCATACCGAGTACACGACTTCCGAGGCATCGCCATGTACAGCATACGCGCGCTCCGGGATGGCGCCTGCGTATACGCGCATACGCATCTGCTGAAACCAGGCCATGTTACAGCTGGACCTGGCAGTCCGTTACGACCAGCAAGGCACACACTCACGCACTTGTAATCACATCACACGTGCTACTGTAACACATAAAAGAAAACATTAAAAATACTCAGTCGGAACTTGATTTCAAGAAATGCAGCACTACTCTTGGTAAACCATTCGCCTTTCTAGGGCACTAAATACTGAGCTGCGGCTACACGACAACCTCTGGTATGGTCCGATCCTCATGTAAACTTAAATACTCTCTTCAATGTCAGAACCAATTGGCTCTACTTCACTTTCATCAGTTATACTTCGGTTTTCCGGCATTTTTCGCAACCAATTAAAAATGTAAACACTCATTCTTACAAAATAGTTTCTGAGCCAATGTTTAGGATAAATTTACTTTCCTCGTGTATCTAATGGTGATCAGTAGCAGCGACAAATAATAAGTCCGCGGCGTCATAAGCCGACAGCATACTCAAAAGCGAGCGCTACAGCTCCACGCTTTCCACTAAACCATTCCAAGTTTGTCGACTACGTAATGCTCGGAGTAAACTGTAACACTTATCATCACATTAGATCACAAAAATACTACTTAGTGTTTAAGTCATAGCACGTTAAAGTAATCATGTTCTTTTTTTCGGTACATCGTATAAACATTTTGAACTTTAAAACTAGGCCATGTAAATCACACCTCGTGTATCAAATTATAACATTACTTGAGCAAGCTAAACTTCCACTGAATGCAAACTATAACTCATTCAGAATATCTCCAACATTTCTTTCATTTGTTAACATATTTAGGTACGTCAGAAATAATGAAAATACTTGAGGGTACTTTTAATACAAATCGAACAAAAGGATTTATCTTTTGGCTTAAATAATTTCACTTTATCTTTTCTCTACACTTTAATGATAGTACAATATCGTAAGTAGGACAGCAAATTTTATTACGGTATTTAACATAAAAAGAGATCCATCAATGTGAAATGCATTATAGCCTTTACAAATGTAATAATTCTCATACTATTCAAAGATTGTATGTGGGCAAAAATGGGGACTTTATCCCACTTCTGATGTCGGAAGATAGTGGGTATAGTACAGAGACTAATTTTGTAGTTAGGAATAATAATTAATTCGTTTACACGAATTAATTATCCAATGAGTCGAGGATAAACTAGTAACGGAATACGACAAGTGTACCGTTCCACGTCAGAGCCAAGACTGTCCTAACGGCGGCCGCTCAGTCCGTTTTATACAAGCAGGACGGGCGGTAACGCAGGTGCGATGCCGCAGGTGTGCGGTACACGTGTCGTTTACAAGAATTCTGTCTTGCTAGACCGGCGCCACCGCATCTACAACGGTGCAGGTGCCGTCATACTTAATATCCTGTCGAAAGGTTGTTTTTATTTATTCAGCTATGACTCCCTATTCTGCTATTTCATCGGCACGTAAAAGTCCAGTGCTTAACATGGACCTCTCGCATTGTAGGAAGGATCTTCCTATATTGTCATGCTTGGCAGGCGGATTGACGACCGCAGTACCAGAAGTCTTCCACTTTTGACGCTACCCCCGTCAACAGTAGACCTAGTCTCCTGGAGATGTAATATTGGTTTTAAGATTTTGATTCCTGGCGTTTTCCGTAGTCGCCTTTTAAATTTATTCGATTTTCTTTGGGACCTAAGCTATCCGAAGTACATACAATGGTAGACAAAGAGACGAGCGTAGTTCCAGGTATTGCACTCCTTACAACGCGCGAGCATGTGGGAGTGCTCTACACTCGACATGCCGCTATGTGACGATTTGGCAAAATAAAATTGTTAGTATGTCTCTATTTAGGCACTAAATCAATAAAAAGGGATGTTTTCAAAACTAGATATATTACATTATAAAGTCAGCGTATTTTTTATTCTTTTATTTAGTTATATTAACAAAAAATGCATTTCAAAATGACTAGTACGGCTGTTAGTTAGTCTATACACTATTAACTCAGAACTACAAATATTAACTCAGGATGATTCTTATTGCTGGTTGTTATCAGACTCAGTGGCGTAGCTAGGCGTGGGCGAAGTGAGCCCTCGCTTACGGCCTCGCACTTAAAGGGGCCTCGCGAGGCCCCTTAAAATGCAATGCCCCAAAATTTTACCACATATGATAAATAATTTAATCGAAACTCGAAAAAGAACGTCACAAATTTAAAAGTGTGTTTTTTTTGGTCCTCGCAAGAAGCCCCGCCCCTTTACGAGTAGAGTAAGAGTATCTTGGGAACGAAAGAAAAAGGGCGTTTATATTGTATGTAGACACATACAATATAAACGCAATTACGGAGAGTATTTCACATTTTTCATTGTCATTTTTGTGTTATAATTTGGATTAACTGTATTTTTTTATGTTTTTTTAAATAATTAAAGTATTACAGCTAATAATCGTTCCATTTTTTAGTATCATCAATTTTATTGCCATTTCTAAAAAAATACTTACATTCAGTTTAAATATTCATCGACACATGTCATGACAGTGAAATCGACGTTGCGAAAAAAAATAAAAAAACGTCCATTGATCTCTGAGAACCGCTGTCAGAAATGTTTGTTTATGCATCATCGGCTTGTAAATAAACTATGGTTCATAGAATGAGATTCTCAATATTATTATTTTTACAAACACGTATATTACACGTCGAATAATCTTAATTTTATGATGTTTATCGCATTTGAAATTCCCATTGCAAAATAAATTACCACGGGAGAATACCATGTTACCTACAAGCCCCCAACCACTTGAAACGCTGTAAATGTAAAAATAAAATAACACCATATAATCCGCAATATGAAAATATTTGAATACAATGCTGACAACAAACTCTTGGTAGTGGCAGTAAATAATTGTTTCTGATACAGGAAAAATCCTTGTAAAGTTTTTAAACATAAACAAATATTAACTTTTATATAAAACTAGCTGGCCAGGCAGACGTCATTCTGTCCTTTCCGACGACCTTTCCTATGAAAAAATCCTTAAATTCGCAATGAAAAATATTGAAGGTCACTTATCGGAATAAAAAGTATCCTATCTCTCAAGTTGGACCAAACTGCACACAGTGTGCAAAATTTCATTGAAATCAGTTCAATAGTTTAGGAGTTCATCGCGGGCAAACAATGTGAGACGTAATTTTTATATATAAAGATTAAGGCGTTAATAAAACGATATCAATATCGAGAAAAAATTAATTTCAGTTTTCCTTATAACCCAGATAAAAACAAAAGCTTTTTATTTCTCTATTTCCTTTTTACAGTAATTGAACTGAGGAAACGTCAGTTGCTGGGAAGGACGTGTCCGCTGGTCCGTTAGTCATTGAATGTTATTTTGTTAAAAAAAAAAATGGTATCGTTTATAGAAACAAAACTCAAGATTTAAAAATAAGGTTAAATAAGAAGCGAAATAAAACGCGATAAAATCCGTATTTATTTTTACATTATTACATTAGTTTTATTCATTAAAAAGTTCTCTCATATTTTAGTCTTTAGTCTTCAGTAAAAACATTAATTAAAAAACTTTCTAGAAAATTTTAATGCCCGATCAGATTATTTTTTTTTTATAGGATCGGGTGACAAACGAGCACACAGTCCACCTGATGGTAAGTGGTTACTGTGACCCATAGACATCTACATCTATCCTCAATAAAGACTCAAGATGCAGATGCGTTGTCACCCGTGAGGACTAAGATGGAATGCCTCTTTGCCAGTAAAAAGGGTCTCCGGTTCTCTACACTCACCATACGAAACACAGCAGCGTTAAGCTGCTATTTTACGCTGGTTTTCTGTGAGAGCGTGGTCCTTCCCCGGTCGAGCCGACCCATTCGTGCTACAACCATAATATAGCTGCAGCATGGCTCTACCACGTATAGAGTATTGTAAAGATAACCTTATTAATATCGTATAATATTTTCTCAAATATTCTCTCAAAAACTAGGTATTAAATATATATTTCATCAAACTTTAAATCATTAAAAATGTAAATGCTGTAAAACATTATTTTAATTCCATCTTTTGAAAAAAATATTTCGGACTTAACGTTGGTCGAGTATTAATGATCTGTTTTTTTGTACTTTAGTTTTTTACAATGGGTGGATTTCTAAGCTACTTATGGTGGGGCGGTGATCCCGATGAAGTGAACCCAGTTTCGGGTATGACACGAAGGGAGGTCTACGCCGTCCAGCGCTCCTGGGCTCCTGTTTACAAAGACTCCGTGGCTACTGGCACTGAACTGCTTAAAAGGTTTGATTTTAGACATATAAATATAAATAGATATCAATAACGATCTTTAACAATATCATGGCATTTGCTATTTTACATTTAAGAAATAACATTAACATTTCCTCTAATAACATTAAAATTATTTGGAGTATAATCAAGAGCGAAACTGACAAGATGAAACTACACAACTCAAACTTTTAATGTAATTTCAACAAAATCAGATTAAGATGTTGCAACGGTTTTATAGCAATATTTTACTGATATTTACCGACATTGCCAACAAGAAATACAAAAATATTCAGTAACTGAATTATGGCTGATTTACAAAGGAAGAGTAACTGACTCCAAATTCGAGGCAAGTCAGTGCTGACCCGCTACTGGCATACTGTAAATTGATTTGGAGTCAGTACCTGCAGCACTTTCGCGCCAGTGCTGACTTCAATATTCCTGCTTGAATATTTTGAAGTCAGTCGACTCCCCCCGCCACCAGCGCCAGTGGTATTAACCTTGTCTAAACGCCAAAGTCAGTCATTGGTCAGTCATAAATAAAAAAAATATAAATACATATGAATAGATATCAATGACGATTTTTAACAATATCATGGCTTTTATTCACAAGTGTAAGTATTCATAAGTATTATTAAATTCCGAACAGTGTCGAAAGTTCAGAATGCATATTGTAGAGTTGCTAGTATACGCATAAACGAAGAATCTCACTCAACCTGTCCCATTTCCGTTGCGTAGCACAACTACACTCCTAGACGCTTTTGGCTACAGAGATTGCTTTTAATTTAAACTCCTACATCGAGGTCCTTCTGCTTCGCACGGTCTTATATCCGCAAGTGACTGGCATAGATCTTGGCGAGGAAAATTCTTGGTCACTTTATACAGGTGAAAAAACTGTCGTAGTAATCATAGGTGGATTGGCTTTAAGACCCTCGCGTTTAGCATCTAGTTCTTGTAAGGGTTTGCTGTCGAAAGTGTAGATCTTTTGTTTTAAGGTCCCCCCATTTTGGTACTCACAAGAAAAGGGTTCGGTAATGTTAAGCCGTGTAGTGGCGGTCAAGAATATCCACTACCCCATATCCACCCGTGGGTGTCGTAAAAGGCGACAAAGGGAAACAGGCAGGAGATGGGCAGCAGCATCTTCTTGATAACAACAAACTAACAATAAAAAACTGCGGTTGCCAACCCGCTCGCCAAGCGTGGCAACTATGGCAAATACCCCCCAAATACCCCATATGAATGACAGTAACAAAGAAACGGCCCCCAGTCCCCGGCGGCCCCGCTATTCCTGGCTACGGTGGCGACCATGGTAACGGCGGGGCAGGGGGTGCTAAGAATCTCCGGTGGAGGTTCGGTTGCCACCTTAGACGACTCGACCTGGCAACGTACAACGCACGCACCCTGAGGACTGACGAGAAGATTGTGGAGCTGGAAGAAGAGATAGACAAGTTGCGCTGGCATATTATAGGATTATCCGAAGTCCGAAGAGAGGGAGAGGACACGGTAATCCTCGAATCCGGCAACTAGCTCTATCACCGGGAGGGCGACCATCTGTCCCAAGGAGGTGTCGGATTTATCGTCCACAAGTCTCTCGTTAACAACGTTGTAAAGATCGGGAGTGTGTCGACGAGGGTTGCGTACCTTATACTCAGAATCACCAAACGGTATTCGCTGAAGGTCATACAGGTTTACGCACCAACCTCGGCACACCCCGATGAGGAGGAGGAGGAAATGTATGAGGATATCTCTAGAGCCATGCATTCCTCCAAAACCCAATATACGGTGTTAATGGGAGACTTCAACGCAAAACTAGGCACAAGAGAGAACGGTGAGCTGAAAGTAGGGAAATTTGGAATAGGGCAACGGAACCCAAGGGGCCAGCAGCTGGCCGACTTCATGGAGAAAGAGGGACTCTTTATGATGAACTCTTTCTTCCAGAAGCGGCCCCACAGGAAGTGGACCTGGTCGAGCCCCGACGGTTCGACAAAAAATGAGATTGACTTCATTATGACGACCAGACGACAACTGTTCAGTGATGTCTCCGTGATCGCGAGAGTGAAAACTGGTAGCGATCACCGAATGGTTAGAGGCACACTGAAACTAAACGTTAAGTTGGAGAGGTCTCGTCTAATGAAGTCAACGCTCCGTCCCCCTCGTGCTCTAATCCAAAGTCCCGAAACCTTTCAGCTCGAGTTACAAAACCGTTTTCAGTGCCTAGAAGACTGCAATGAAGTGGACGATTTGAATGACAAGCTCGTGGAAACTGTCCATGCGGTCGGAGCTAAGTTCTGCAAGACCCGCCGCAGAAGAACACAAAAACTCTCCGATCACACTCTTAATCTCATGGCTGTTAGACAGGAGATGAAGCTACATTCTTGACAGCATACAGGCATCTGAACAGACAGATCTCCAAATGCATGCGGCGGGACTTACGCAACTTCAATACAGCTCGTATTGAAGAAGCGATCGAGCGGAACCAAGGCTCCAAAGTCTTTGCCAGAGATCTGTCTGCCAGAAAGAGCCAACTGTCAAAGCTGAAGACAGAATGTGGCAGCATCGTTTCCGGGACACCTGAGATTTTGAGTGAGATTGAGAGGTTCTATGGGCAGTTGTACACGTCATCGTTGGAGCCACACGCAAGTGTGAGTAACGATCCAAGAGCGAGTCTCATCCGACACTATTCCGAAGATATCCCGGACGTCAGTCTAAGCGAGATTAGAATGGCTCTCCAGCACCTTAAAAACGGCAAAACAAAGATCATGTTTAATGTCCATGTCACACCTATGCCGGTAGTTGTTGGGAACACTAAGCTCGAAGTTGTTGACGAGTATGTTTACCTGGGACAAATAGTCCGACTAGGTAAGTCCAACTTCGACCGAGAGGTCAATCGACGGATTCAACTCGGCTGGGCAGCGTTCGGGAAGCTAAGACACATCTTCTCGTCAGATATACCTCAAAACCTTAAAACGAAATTGTACAACCAGTGCGTGTTGCCAGTGATGACTTACGGAACTGAGACGTGGTCCTTCACTGCTGGCCGGATGAGAAAGCTCAAGGTCGCTCAGCGAGCTATGGAGAGGGCTATGCTCGGAGTTTCTCTGCGTGATAAACTTAGGAATGAGGATATCCGCAGTAGAACCAGAGTAACCGACATAGCCCAACGGATTAGTAAGCTGAAGTGGCAGTGGGCCGGCCATATAGCTCGAAGAACCGACAACCGATGGGGAAGAAAGGTTCTCGAGTGGCGGCCTCGTACCGGCAGGCGAAGTGTAGGGCGTCCCCCCACGAGATGGAGTGACGACCTGGTAAGACATGCAGGAAGTCGATGGATGCGGGTGGCTCAGGACCGTGCTTTGTGGCATTCTTTGGGGGAGGCCTATGTTCAGCAGTGGACTTGTGAATGGCTGTAATGATGATGATGATGAATGTTATTAGAACGGAGGCTGGTAAGCTTTTGTGCTGCGTTAGAGGCACACAGACAATCACAACATATTATCAAAACTCGAAAAGCAATAATTGGTTTTCCAAGAATATTTGCTTCGAGAATCCATGCGGCCCTAATTTTGAATACATCGTCCTAATTTTGCCTCTTGGGTGTCGTAGAGGGGATTGTGATATATACTTTAAATATTTAATGACTTCCAACTGTCCACTGTTCCAAAAGGCGCTAAGACCATCCCATTAACCCCCAGACCTATAGACCGGGAACACTATCTAATTGATTATTGTGATTACCATTATGGAAAATCCTTGCTAGTGGCCCATGTCGAGCAACCGACTTGTGTGCCTATCCGTATATCTAAATCGTCTTATTTATTTATGACAGGCACTCAATTGAGTGATTCTTTGTAGGTACTTCACAATACGAACGACGGAATTCAATCTGGACCCTTTGTGAATAGCATTCCTCGCGCACACTCAGCCTAACAAAGAAAGATAGATAGAATGAGTTCTTGCGTAACGTCGAAACCACGTTCAACTTCTTGATTCACGCATCATTCTTCTTTCTTTCTTTCTTTATCAATCTCATGTTCACTGCTGGACGCACACATATACACCTACCAACCATGTAAGTAGTTGATTTTACGTGATCTTAGAGGCATACTCGTGCTACATACGTGTGCGTGAATGCGTATTCTTACAATATGTTGAGCATGATTTCTACTTGATTTGACGTTACTTTAAGTATCACACCTTGCGTTGTAAGTGTCCACAGTCTGTGGACATACATAAAATCGGGTTCTAGTTCATATCCTCACATCATTAATACATTATCTACTCATGACCCAAATAAGAATATGGTTGATGTATTTAAATGCATGACAGTAATTTAAAATAGTACTAATTAATTTTGACTATCACTCAGATGTCTTCCAGACAAAAGTGAAAAGGCTTTTGTTAAGTCAGTGCGCTTTACCATCTTTGGCAGTATCATCACTTACCATCAGGTAGGATTGTAATCAAGCATTGTTTTATAATAGTAAAAAAATTAATAATTTAATTTCTTGTACCAATTTTTGTAACGCAAGAAAAATTGTGTAATTAGAAACTGTTAGGTATTACGTCGTAGTTCTAATAGGTAATAAAGCATGTGAAGTGTCATTTATTGTTGTTCATGTGTCCATAGGCTACAGTAGTCACTTACCATCAGATGAACTGTTAGTTCGTATGTCAGTCCAATGTTATAATCAAAACTTTATTCGTGTGATAATTTATATTCTTCTAATTTTTACAGATTCTTCCGAGCCTATCCTCAATCAAAAGAGTTCTTTAAAATGATAAGAAAATTGCCCGAAGAAGAGTATGCCCAAAATTTCCAATTTAAGGCACACGTCATCAACCTGATGGCTGCACTCAACCAAGCCGTCACTAACCTAAACCAGCCGGAGGTTGTCGCTGTTATGATGAACAAGCTTGGGGAGTCACATCGTAAGAGAAAAATTCAAGAACAAAATTTCCACGTAAGAACTTTTCTTTTCCATAAATATACATATCATCAATATTAAGAACGTTACAAATAATAGATAAAATAATTCATTTGAAGCTTTAATTATGATGATCTCTTATATTTACGCGAAGACTACACATTAAATAAAACTAATGTTTACGGATTTTATCGCGTTTAATTTAACTTTTTAATACCCGACTTAATTATGGACAAAATATACCACTATAAATTTTAAGGAAATAAATTACAGCTATTCCCTTAACGATTTTTGTTAAAAAAAACACTTAAATAAAATAAATAATATCAATGAATGGAAATTGATTCAATTTATTTAATTAGCATCTTTCCTTTTCTCATTTCTCATAAGTTAAAGCAAGATTTTTTTTTAAATTCATGCATATATTATTAATGATCGTAGATAACTATTACAAGCATAGAAACCTTATATTAAATGAAAAGCGAATATAATTCATTTGAGTCTTTTAATCAAAACCTTCACAAAACCTGCGCTAAACACACAAACACGAGCACACGACAAGTGCCGCTGGTAGGTGGCAATTCGTACCTTGTTGCGAATTCCGGTATCAACTTAAATAATGAAAAAATATTATAGAATACCAACTTAAATCATACGAGAATATAATTTATTCGAGTACTTTGACTTGGTTCAAACATCAACACTTCTTTACTACACGAATATATAATTCACCTTATTAGTGTAAATAAATCAAATACATACGACTATTGTTTTCGGCCAAATAAACAAAGCAAAATAATTTAAAATTTAAAATTTTGTACAGCCGACTTCAATATAAGTTATTAAGAATAACTCAAAAACTATTGGTCTGACCTTGATCATATAGGACCACACGAGAAGTACCAGCTTTCAAATAAAAAAAGAGTCATCGAAATCGGTTCACCCAGTAAAAAGTTATGACACATAAAAAAAACATACAGTCGAATTGAGCACCGTCTCCTTTTTGGAAGTCGGCATACAAGATATGAAGTGTCACCTTTAAGTATTTGAAGGCTTAAAAACCTGAACAGTATATGATATGACAACCAACTCCGTATATACCTGACATAATATAAGCAGAGGCGTGGTAGCTCAGGGACAAAGCGCTCGCTGTAAATTTCACAGAACGCGAGTAACCCGGTTTCGATACCCGCCGTCAGCAATGAAATTGCTCATTTCATACCAGAGAAATAATAACCAAAAAATTCGAAAACATGTGAAGTTCTCCAACACGCATTGGGTCAGCGCGGCGGATATTTGCTTGCCCCAAAACCCTCTCAGAAATGAGAAGAGGCCTGTACCTAGCTGTGGGATGTATATAGGTTGTAACTTTAACTTTTAAAATAAATAATGATCATTGTTACCTTTACAGGACTTAAAAGAAGTCATTGTAAAGATGTTCATCGAAGTATTAAAACTCGACGAGTCGACACTTGGCGCGTGGGGCAAGACTGTTGGCTTTTGGTACAAACACATCTTTGAAACACTGAACTCGGAAGATGAGAGCAGATAACACGTGACTTAAAATATTCTGACTACGGAATTGACAATTCTGTTTTACCTGACGATTTATATTTGATTTTATTTTAAACATAATTAGTAATAAATATATTTTTGCAAATATTAGATAAGGTTTAAATGCTAAACGAAATTTATATAATATAAATATTTTAATTTTTATTGTAAATAAACGCAACATTTTAATATATTATACATAGTAATATAAATATGTTTTTTTTTATTTAGTCTTATGAATGAGTTAACCCTTGGAAAAGTCACAATTTATCACAGAAAAAGTCGCCTCTGAATACTTATAAGTATGTTTTTTTTTATAGGATAGGGTGACAAACGATCACACAGTCCACCTGATGGTAAGTGGCCACTGCGACCCATAGACATCTACATCTATCCTCAATAAAGACTCAAGATGCAGATGCGTTGTCACCCGTGAGGACTAAGATGGAATGCCTCTTTGCCAGTAAAAAGGGTCTCCGGTTCTCTACACTCACCATACGAAACACAGCAGCGTTAAGCTGCTATTTTACGCTGGTTTTCTGTGAGAGCGTGGTCCTTCCCCGGTCGAGCCGACCCATTCTTGCTACAACTATACCACTAATATAGCTGCAGCATGGCTCTACCACGTACAAAATGTTCTTTACCTTCAAACCGAAACACAGTACTACGGCTTGGGACCGATAAAGCTAAGTGCCACTACATTGTATTAAATATTCGTGGCAACGTGGAACGGCCCAACCAAAATCTGGATTCATTACGTCCATCCATTAAATTTATCTATAAAAGTACACGGCTGCCCCCATAAATTGACCAATATGGGGATTTTGTCATAGTTGTCATGGTTGGCAAAGGAGTTGGCAACCGAAGTTTGTTATAATTTTGAGTTGTTATCAAGAAGATGCTGCTGCCCATCTCCTGTTTCAGTTCCACTTTACCACCTCTTACGATACCCAAGGCACATAATGGGATGATGATATACTTATACCGCTACCACACGGCAATGATTACTGGATATTGTTTCTAATGGTTTGCAAAATCAATATTCTTTTAAACGCAGAAAAACAAGTTTACCGTTTACTTCCTGCGTGTTTTACCAGGTCGTCACTCCATCTAGTGGGGGACCGCACTACAATTCGCCTTCCGGTACGAGGCTGCTTCTCGAGAACTATCTTTTTTTTTCCTATCCTAATCTATCTTTCTAATCGGTTGTCGATTCTTCGAGATATATATATATATGGCTGGTTCATTGCCACTTCAGCTTACTAATTCGTTGGGCTATGTTAGTCGCTCTTGTTCTACTACGGATATTCTCATTTCTAAGTTTATCACGCAGAGAAACCGCGGGCATAGACCTCTCCATAGCTCGCTGAGCGACCTTGGGCTTCCTCATACGGCTAGCAGTGAAAGATCAGGTCTCAGATCCATTGTTACGTTTTAATTTATTTAAAATAAAACAACAAATAAGAATTACAAAACAATAAGAATTTATTTATAGACTCACGGTCGGAGATCGGTTACCATTTATTAATTTTGATCTAATTGCCCTCGCAACAATACTCTCCTGCGCTCTGTTTAGTCTGCTTCTTGTTACTGCCGTGCATGTAATATTAAATTTACACGTTACGCCATAAGTCATCACTGGTACAATCTCGTTTTCAAGTTTTGGGGGCTATACCTGACGAGAAGATGTGTCGCAATCTCCCGAACGCTGCCCAGCCGAGTTGAATTCGTCGATTGACCTCTCGGTCGAAGTTGGACTTACCTAGTCGGACTATTTGTCCCAGGTAAACATACTCGTCAACAACTTCGAGCTTAGTGGTCCCAATAACTACCGGCATAGGTGTGACATGGACGTTACACATGATCTTTGTTTGTCCATGTTCATTACAAGACCTACCAGCGATTCTACCATAAGGACTAAATCGTCGGCAAATCGAAGGTGAGTAATGTACTTGCCATTGATGTTAATCCGTTCCAGTTCAGTAGCTTGAAATAGTTTTCCAACGCGACAGTGTAGAGTTTCGGGGATTTAACGTCAACCTGTCTTACACCTCTCTACGGTTGTATAGATTTCGTACTCTGATACTATTACTAATTTAGAGAATATTAATTTGGATTTTGAACACGAGTACAATCGTATTTTAAAGTTTCTATTGATTCAACCTCCAGTTGTAATATTTACTTTTTTATTGATATTTTATTGGTAAACTAGCCTTAAAATTAACACTCCCGTCGTAGTTTATTAATAAAAACATTAAGTAGGTACGCACTGAATAGATAAATTTATTAAATAAAAAACCGATGTAAATGCTTCAATTTTATCATAAAATCTTTGTTTTTCAGAGTATCCAAATTTTATATTTAGTTCATCTATATAAATAATGATATACCGTTATTGCATTTTTTGAAAATACGAGCAAATAAGGCTTCTACTTTTATTTGAAACTATCACGATTTGAATGTGATGTCAAGAACTACGCTTCTAAGGAGACGAGCGACATGGTACCTTGTAACCGAGCGACTGTTGTGTGCGTGCGCAGTAAAATAGTAGGCGTTAGATATTAATGAGTGACAATTACTTGAAATAATGCATTATCACGCATTCTGAATTAAAAGATAAAAACATTCTGTATGTTTGAGATCTTTTTATTAATTTTTTCGTCACTTTGCAAATTTAACGTTTGTAGAGCCACGCAGCAGTTTTTGCTGTTGCACGTATGGGCCGGCTCGAGCCGGGTTGGTACCACGACCTCACAGAATACCAGCGTGAAGTAGAAGCTCTGCTTCTGCGTTTCATTTGGTGAGTGCAGGTGGCTGGAGGACCAATTCCCCCACCCCCCATCAACATGGTAGCGGAATTACACCAAAGACTACCCCAGGAGAGTACCAGCACCCCTGGAGAATCCCTCGCTGAGCATCCACGACCATATTATTCCACTCCAGAGCGTGGAAGCTTAGACTGCTCCGCGTATTCTGGGGGGGGGGGGGGGGGGGGTTACTTCACCTACGCGGATTTCAGATGTGGAGGATCATGCATCTTCCCTGTTGGACCTTCTGCTGACCTCTCATCCGGACGGATATCAGGTTTCCGTAGATGCCCCTCTCGGCTCTTCGGACCATTGTCTGATCTGGAGTGTGGTGCCACTCACGCTCCCCTCGCGGTTGCGTTCTGCAGGTTTCCGCCGTATTTGGCATTACAGGTCGGCGGATTGGGACGGAATGCGGTCTTTCTTTGCATCCTACCCATGGGGACGGGTTTGCTTCTCGCCGGATGATCCCAGCACTGTTGCTGACTCTGTCACTGATGTGGTGCTACAGGGAATGGAACTATTTATTCCATCATCTGTGGTACCCATCGGAGGCCGATCTCAGCCTTGGTTTGATCGCTCCTGTAAGACTGCATTACGCAGTAAGCAGGAGTGTTATTAAGCCAGCATACTTAAAAAGAAGTATAATTTCGCCTCCAGGTCCTTCAAAAGATTTATTGCCAAGGCAAAGTCAGAGCACATAGGCAGAATTGGCGAGAAACTAGTTCGCCTGCCTTCTGGAACCCGTGCATTCTGGTCTCTCGCCAAGGCTGTCCAAGTGAATTTCTGTAAGCTATCACTACCACCTCTGCACAGGGAGGACGACTCACTGGCCCAAGCTGCAAAAGACAAAGCTGACCTTTTAGGCTCTTGATGACGGGGGGAAAACACCGCCGACCATCCCGCGGTGTGAGTGATCCATACCGGATGTGCTGTTCTCACAGCACTCGGTTCGCAAAGCACTCCTCTCCCTAGACATCCAGAAGTCGAGTGGGCCTGACGGAATCCCACCAATTGTGCTGAGTACGTATGCTCTGGAGTTGGCACCAGTCTTAACACGTCTTTTCCGGTACTCCTACTCCCTAGGCGTAGTCCCGAAATCATAGAAGACAGCTTTTGTCCACCCGATCCCTAAAAAAAGCAACCGCTCAAACCCGTCCAACTACAGGCCTTTCGCCATCTCCTCCTTGTTCTCCAAAATAATGGAATCCATTATTAACTGCCAGCGCATGCGGTACCTTGAGGATCACCAGCTGATTAGTGACCGCCAATACGGTTTTCGTCGGGGTCGATCAGCTGGTGATCTTCTGGTCTACCTGACTCATAGATGGGCGAAGGCATTAGAGTCCAAGGGGGAGGCGTTGGCCGTTAGTTTTTACATTGCGAAGGCCTTCGATCGGGATTGGAACAAAACGCTTCTTTCGAAACTCCCTTCCTATGGGCTTCCCGAGAAATTGTGCACTTGGGTCACCAGCTGTTCAGCTTCCTTGCAGATCGGAGCATCAAGTTCGTTGTAAATGGTGCATGCTCCGACTACAAGCCTATTAACGCTGATGTTCCACAAGGCTATGTGCTATCACCAACGCTGTTTCTTCTGCATATCAATGATATGTTGCTAACTAGTAACATTCATTGCTATGCGAATGACAGCACTGGTGATGCTCTATACCCCGGCCGTGCCAATATTTCGCGGGAAAACGTCGCCGAGTACCGGGACAAACTTGTGTCTTAAGTCGAACAAAGTCTCGGATTGGGGGCGACTAAATATAGTCTAGTTTAATCCTCAGAAGACACAAGTTTGCGCGTTTACCGCTAAAAAGAACCCCTTTGTCGTTTCTCCTCAGTTTCAAGGCACTCCCCTTCTTGCCTCAACCAGTATCGGAATCCTCGGAGTCGACATATCGAGTGACGTGCAGTTTCGTGGTCACTTGGAAGAGAAGGCCTCTAAAAAGCTTGGCGTGCTCAGCAGAGCGGGACAGTATTTCATGCCGGCACACCGCCTGCAACTTTACTAGGCGTAGGTTCGGCCTCACATGGAATACTGTTCCCATCTCTGGGCAGGGGCTCCCCAGTGCCAGCGCCTTCCACTTGACCGCATCCAGCGCAGAGCGGCTCGAATAGTCGACGACCGAGTCCTTTCAGATTGGCTCGACTCATTGGCACTGCGAAGAGATGTTGCATCCCTTTGCAT